GTTGTTTAGGGTTATTTTGATTGTTTGAGAGTTGTAACTCATTAAATTTCTCCTCCATTAGTGAAATCTCCCCATCCTCTCCTCGTGGATGTAGACATCTTGCCGAACCACATAATTCTATGTTTACGATTGACCTTGGCCGTTTATATTATGGATTGTGTTCGGTTTGTTCTCCGTACATTGCTTACCGACTCGTTGTGCATTGAGTCTGTTTCCGTTGGGCGTAACATACATCAACTGGCAGTGATACTGGGATGTGTCAATTATCATATCGTGATGACGAAGACGTCGTCTTTGTATGGTGGGGTGATTACGACACCCCCACTTTAGTCCTACATGGACTAGTGTGAAGAAATGTTAGTGATTTAAATAGAAAAGCCCAAGGCCTAAGAACAACTAGTGCTAGCATTTTGCCAGTGGATTTTAGCTAACATCGAGTTACTCTCTGTGGGTCCCACGGCTTGTGCGCGCCAACATGCCTGGGGCATGACATTTAATTAACCTCTTGTGCTGTATTAAATACTGAAATGTTCATGTTTGTTGATGCAGCCCTAACTTTCAGGTGTGCATCAGAAAGCTTCTGCCGGTTAAGAAAGACCGGCCCGTTGGCGACGTCCTTGCAAACTTTCAGGTGTGCATCAGAAAGCTTCTGCCGGTTAAGAAAGACCGGCCCGTTGGCGACGTCCTTGCAGTTCTGCAAGCCAGAGACAAACGAGGGAGGGTGGGGGTCTAGTTTTTTGTCCCTCTGATGCTCGAGTTACTGTGGTTTTCTTGGGAGATAACCATTAAATATGAAGAATAAAGGAAATAGTTGGAGATGTTTGTGTAATGAGTCTTCCTCTCTCATGTGAAGAGGTGATATTCCTATGGTAAAAGTTTCATGAAAAGGTTCCCTAAGTATTGGCCAAATATTATTTTGGTTCCCTAACATTTGGAAGTCGGGGGGGAGGGGGGTCTTTAACGTTATATTTATCATCAATGTAGGTCTTTTTACAAACTTACGTTAAGTCCTGTTGACGTGATGGTGATGTGGTACTACCGTGTTAGCAAAAAATTAGTGAAAATCCAAGTTTATCATGTCACATCAGTACTCTTACATTGACAAAAAGTAAAATCACAAGTTTGTATTGAGTTTGTAATGGCACTAATTTTTTGTGTGACGTGATAGTGACATGGCAATGCTACATTATCTCTATGTCAGCAAAATTTAACATAATTTTGTAAAACGGACTTAGGCTGATAATAGAGGCAGCTTTAGGGACCCCCAGTGATGCGTTTCAAACATTGAACACTCAAAATGATATCTGGCCAATACATGAAGAGCTTTACCTGAAGTTTTTCCTTTTCCTATTTGTTTTTGCAGGTTTCATTTCATGAACTTCTACCATGTCCAAAAACTTTTATGTTATATGAGTGTTCTGATAGAATCTGCAATTGTCGTCAAGTGCGTCTATTTTATGCGGGTGTTTTCATCACGCCCCAGACCCGCAAGCCTATTGGCACCATATAAACCGTGGGACTCACCAAGTGTAACGCGCTGTTTCTAAATCCACTGTCAAAAGTACGGGCACTTATTACACTTAAACCTTGGGCATATTTATTTAAGCCACTCAAATATTTCACACTTTTCGGGAATGAGACTAAACACCTAGGGGTCTCACAGCATTGATAGAATTTGCTGTCAAATGGGTCTACTAGGGCAATAGATGAGTGGGAGTTGTTGGTAGGTCCTCGGCTTTTGACTCAAGAGTGCCTGCACTCTCATCATGTCATGTTGGCCGCAATAAATACGGCGCATTCAATATGCGAGGGATTGAGTGTATCACTCACTTGGCAAGGACTGCAGCATAGACCTCAAATTGACGGAGGCTACATTTTAGAGGCTCAATAGGCGCTCTCACTTCTGGTCTCCTGCTCTAAATTCCCAATGGAATCGTGCACATCCGAGACAACGTCTTGTTATTTGTGGACCCTGGCTTTTTATGTTCGCAAGCTACCTACGTGGCATTTTATTAAGGGTAAGAGAAGAAATTCATTTAATTTCCCAGTTAAACCATTTTGATAGCCACATTCATCATGCTAAAGAACAATTAAATGCCTTACTGAAATTAATACAATAACCAACGTCTTTCATATCACCAAACAAAAAAGGGGAAAAAAAAACATAAAATTATACATCACCAAACCCTTTTGTCCTTGTAAGTTAACATGGATATATACAAGAACAACAAATTCCAATCCAACACCTGAACAGAACAGAACAAAACAAAACAAAACCAACTAATAAAAAAAATCCTCCCTCAAAGTTAATTGATCTTCAAACAATTTCAAGGACCAAAGCAGCCGAAGATCTTTGTCGGTGCAAGTCCGGTTGCCCGGAATTTTGCAGCCGTTTCCTCGGCTTTGAGGACGTCTTCACCCCGTTTTGCTTCGATCATGGCTCTCTTGTCTTCTGCTGCCTTGTGGAGCAATGCAAGCCTGTTCTTCTTCTTCTCAGCGTACTCGGCCTTCTTCTTCTCTAGCTTTTCCTGATCACGTAAGTCCAAGATTAACTTAGCTTGGAGGGGCGTATTAATTTATTGATTCCGACGATTGTGAACTGTCGTTTCGTTTAGCAAAATGAGCTGTCAACAGATAGAATTGTTTAATAGTTGCTTACCTCAGCCTTCCTCAAATCAGCTTCAATGGATGCCTTCTTCGAGTTTTCCCACGCGGTAGTGGATGACTTGTTCTTAATTGCCCTGTTTAATGTCGTGAAGAAGTGAAATTTTAATTTCTAAGCATAAGAAGGATATGTCGAAGCCTTGGATAAAACACTTGGTATAATTTATACGAATCCCGTTAGAACATTCCACATGCGAGTTAAATGTTCTCAACCACACACGAGGGGATCAATTTTCCAGTTTGTCTCTCCGTCCTCATCTTGTATGGTTTAGAACATGTTCACATGCAAGATGTTCTGATAAGATTTCCACCTGTGTTAGATAAGCGTACGTGAGCTGGTTAATATTTGATCAATACCTAATTAGCTTAGATTTCACAGATTAATTTGGTGTTCGTTTTATATTTAAGATTCATCTCGAAACAAGTGTCTAAGCCATGTTACCCGCCAAGGAATTTTTTTTTTATTCTCTACAGTGAACATCATTTTCCCTGGATAAGTTTGCTCGCTGCATCCCAGGATAAGTATATAAAATGCTAGATTCTCAACTTACTTGTTCTCAGCTTTGGCCTTTTCATTTTCTTCCCATGCCTTGATCAAAGACATTCTCTTTTCATTTTCAACCCTTGCAAGGATAGCATCTGCAAATAATACACACAAAATATTTGTAGTATTGAACTAACTATCTGATATAGCAATTTTTCAACCATATATATACCTCTATCAGCTGAAGCAGATGATTTCTTCTCTGCTGGAAGTTCTGCAACCTCTGATAATAAATATAATGAAAGACTTAATCACTGTTTACAATCTGAAAGTTTTAATCACTATTTATAATACAATATCCCAGTTAACTAAAAAACTGCCATATTTAAGTTTTAGCTCGTTAGGTATTTTATTAGGCAAACTAGCCGACATAATAGTTCATCACAGTTTCCTAATTAAAATTTACAGCTCAAGCAAACTTAGCTAATATATTAATCATAAAAAATAAAAAAAATAAAATCCTCACTCTCAACAACAACAAGAGCCTTGGAGCCATCAGCCTTCTCTTCAACAGTTGGGTTCACTGCCTTCTCCTCAGGCACGTCTTTAGGAGCCTCAGCTACCGTTGTTTTCTTTGTTCCCTCTTCAACCGCAACCGCCATTAGAAATTTTGCTAAGCTCGGTATCTTTGCGTCTCTCAAAAAACCTTAGAATTCAAAAAGACTTAGAAAGAAATTATAGCATACAAGAGATTAGAGCAAAGGGATGGGATAAATATATAGAGGGCAAAACAGGGGGCTCCTTTTAGTATTGTATGATTAAGATGATGTTATGGAATCAATTACAGTTAGTGTCATGGTTGGTGTGAGTTGTTCATGAGCTTGCTTTATGTTGATTTATTTATTTATTTATTATTATTATTATTTTGTTTTGTGTTGTGATACTTTCTAAGTATGATTATAAATGGGTATAATTACTTGAATGTACTTTAAGATCAACCATCTTTTTTTTAATAATCATTTACTTTATCTTTTTGAAAGTATAGAAGTATATTTTCCTTTCCTTTTCTTCTTTTTTCTTTGTGGCTTTCAAAAACTTTTGTTTCTTGCCTTGGGATGTTAAGTTCTTTCTATTGAAACGACTTGTTCTTTCTATCAATTCCTTGTTTGTTCACCAAATAATTCTTAAGTACTGCGGCCGACCCCTTTCCCCCTTGTCCGTGAACTCCTATTACTCTTTAATTGTCTAAATTATGCATCGAGATTAACAAGCCATTTTTAATTTATGGTGTCTCTTATTTTAATAAATGCAACTTCTATATTTTTTATTATAAATACTAATATCTTCATAATTTCTTAATATTTTTTATTTCTCTAATTCTAATAAATACAATTCTATATTTTCTTACAAATAGTAAGAGCATCTCCAACAGCTTCCCCATTTCTCATTTTTGGAGAATATAGTTAGGTTTTTGGTCCAACAGATTCCCCATCTCATTCTCCAAAATAGGGATGGAGGAGAAAAAATGGGGAAGCTTCCCCAAATCTGCAGCATTCTCCAAATTTTTGGAGGAAAAAAGAGATTCTTCAAAATGGGGAAGCTGTTGGAGTTGGTGTAAAAATAATTTGGAGAATATGACTTTTGCTTCCCTATTTTGGAGAAAATTTTAGAGAAGCTGTTGGAGATGCTCTAATACCTTCATGATGTCTTATTATTATTTTTTCTATATTAAGTAGCAAATTACTAACAAATAGTTTAAAAAAAGTAATGTCTGTACAGGTGGAGCACTCTTATTTACTATATTTATATGTTATATTCAATGAATACATTGAATGCTTGTAGATTTTTTTCAAGGAATAAGTGAAACAGATTTAACTCTATGTTGAAAACCTGTAAGTCGAATATACCTTATAAAAGATCTCAAGTCCAATTAGCATGCAAGTATACCAAAGGCAAATATATACTTTGCGGACTTAGTTAAATATAATAGTACGTGCTTTAGCAAGGATAAACTTCATTAAACATAAGAGTAGGTATAATTTACATAAGAAAAACAAAACATGATAGTAAAAAATCTTGAAAAGTTCCTGCACAAATTAAAATCGGTTATGCATACAATTTTAGGAGATCTTTGTCGAGTTAATTTAGCTTTTATGTGTAGTTACCTTGAGATGAAATTTTCTGAAAGTTTTCCTTGCTGTACGTCTACATTAACTGTCAGGGACGGGACTTTTCCAAGTTCTAATAAATTATGTAGCCGTCCATGACAAAACCGCTTCTGGTATGTTGAAGGAGCAAAAAGTTGATCCTGCCTTCGGAGAACTGATCGAGTGGTTTTCTGATTCTTTGGGTACATATATATCGCTTGGTTCTTCGCTTTTTTAGTTTGAATGGAATTGTCAATTGTTATTAATGATAGCTCTCATAAGAGATGCACTGATATCTTCAATGAAAGTTACGTGTACAATATGTGTGCTTAGAGATAATATCAACAAATATATGCAAATTAAGCTGAAATCACTCATATATGAAGCTGGAAATCATACATCAGACAATGCATGTAATTGATCACGAAATCAGATTTAAACTTGGGTACAATATATACTTGCAGATATTTTAAGATGTATAAATCTTTATGGCATGGTTATAATCATTATTTGAGCATAAGATATTAAAATTACTGGTAATTAATATAAATAATTGGTTAATATGTACATGATTAGCAGGGTAGATCGAAAACTGTGTATATATGCAATGTATATATGGTATGTGAAAATTGGATCAGATACGATACGGTATATAACCACAATCTGAAAATTTTACATAATTAATCACTACAGCAGACCACAAGAATTATATGTTTATTGTTCTCAACCCTAACATTTGGAGTAGGGCATGTTCTCAACCCTTTTTTGTTTTATTTTGAAATATGGGTTGATTAATTAGGTAACCCTCTTTATGATACATGCCATCGGTAGCTTTTTTATTTTATTTTATTTACATTTTTAATAAGATATGAGATTATGAGATTACCATACCTGATATATTATCGACGCAGTCAAGATGAGCTATCTTAGTTTTATAGCATGTATTAATGCAGTATCATGTGCGTGGATGCATATATCATTATACCTATTATTATTGTATTATTATTACAAGTTAGAGAGAAAGTAAGTACACTAAAGAAAATTTGCAACCAATTTACCAAATACATAAATAATTTATTAGAACTGCAATGGTATAAAATCTTACACTCCAAATTCCTTTGCTACGGTTGTGTTCCAGCTGGTAAGATTCTTTATACTGACAAATCACCAAGATTAAGATGGATCACCTACATAATACATAATACAAAATTTGTTAAACGTAAATATGCAGCAATCATAGTGAAATTGTAGTTTTTCGTCATTAAGAAGAAAAAAATCCAGCTAATTGCAAAAAAAAGGGGTCTCTTTTTAGTATTATATGATTAAGATGATATTATGGAATCAATTGTACAGTAGTGTCACGGTTGGTGAGAGTTGTTGAGCTATGCTTTTAGTTGATATTTTTCTTTGTGTTATGATACTTGTTTTAAGTATGATTATAAATAGAGGTATAATTTGAATGTACTTTAAGATCAGCTACCTTTTGTTACAATCATTTGCCTTTTCTTTTTGAAAGTATAGAAATATCTTTTCTTTTCTTCTTTTTCCTTATAGTCGCTTTGACAAACTTTTGTTTTTGTCAACATGAAGAATTTAAGCGATGTGGTCATCTATCTTCCGCACTCAGTTGCCACACAGCCTCTAGATTTGAGCGCATGCCTACCACCAACTTGTAAGCAGACCTACAATCAAAGATACTGTTATGACAAACTCCCCAGAACAAGCTAATATCAATCACACTAGCGCACGAAAAATCATCAAGAACACACGAATACAAAGATATATGTGGTTCGGCTTGTAGCCTATGTCCACAGACGATAAGGTGAAAAGCTTTACTAAATAGTAAGGAACACAAAGTAGAGATCTCTCAATCACTCAATTCCAAATAACACTCCAAAATTCCCGTACAATCTCTCTAAATAAAAGGAACAAAAGAAGAGATAATTCACGATGACGGGATTTTGAAGAAAACTTTGTTTCTCTCTCTCTCTGCATTAGTGCTATAGTTGATGATGATACTTAATAGAACCTGTCGGGTCTTCTTTTATAGGAGCTTCTCCAAGTCGTTGGCCAATAGTAAACAATATAAGAATAGAATTCTAATGCGAGTCCAATTCGTGACAAATCAACCCTATCAACACTTGGACTATGAGAACTCTAACAAGGGCCTATTGGAATCCAATCCAATTAGATCAAAAGTCCTTATTCCACTAGAATTAAGACTTAATTAAGATGTCTACACCAACTCAAATTCTAATGTAATCGTTGTTGAAGATTTCGAAATCGAATTACTTCGGTATTTGAGTTACACCACAACAAATCTCCACCTTGACTCAAATGCGTAGAAATTCTTCACTCCAAAAACTAGCTTACTTCACCTTCTCCAATAGCCCTGCATGGCATCAAGTGTGGTGCGTATCGATCAAGTCCAAGTCTGGCTTAAACTTACCACCTGAAAGAGGCCTCCTCAACAAATCGACTGAATTGTACGCATGATGACCGTAACGCTTAGAGAAGTCATCACCTGAAGTAGCTCCTGAATAGCTGAAGGGCAAAAAATTATCAACCGACAATGCATAAGCTATCGTATCTTCGTATCTTCGCGGTAGTCGCATATCTCGTCTAGACTGATCTCTAGCAATAGTGTATTCCCGCGCAGCTGCTAAGGTGCTTCATCTACTTGAACGAGATCTAGCTGCTGAACTCATGTAGTTTTATCCCACTGAAAAGCTGAATCATAAATTAATTTCTAACTCCATCTTATGTCACATAGTGCGCGCCTTATCATTAACTAAAACCGATGACCGTTTCTGGGGGAACATAGCAGACTCATCAAAAGTAACATCACGGCTAATAATAATCTTAGGAGACTTCGGATCAGGATACCACAACCTAAAACCTTTAACACCCGATGCATAACCTAGGAATATGCACTTCTTCGCTCGCGACTCAAGTTTTCCTTGACTAACATGCGCATATGCATGGCAACCAAATATGCTAAGATTAGAATAATTCACAGGCTTACCGGACCAAACCTCCTATGGAGTTTTACAACTAATAGTAGTAGATGGCGACCGATTCACTAAGTAACAAGTTGTATTCACTGCTTTCGCTCAGTATTCCTTTCCTAAACCTGCATTGAACATCATACAACGAGCTTTCTTCAATAGGGTTCTGTTCATACGTTCTGTCACCCTATTCTATTGCGGCGTGCGAGGGACTGTATGATGTCTAGCGATTCCTTTATTTTTACAGAACTCATTAAATTCTCATCCACAAAACTCAAGGGCGTTATCAGTCCTAAGCCTCTTAATCAGTCTCCCAGTTTGCTTCTTAATCAAAAACTTTAACTGCTTGAAAGTTACAAACACCTCATATTTATATCTCAAAAAGTAGACTCAAACCTTCCTGGAGTAGTCATCAATGAAGGTCAACAAATATCTGGAACTACCACCCTACGAGGCAACTTGAGAAGGTCCCTAAAAATCTGAATGGATATAATCCAAAGTACCTTTAGTCTGATGCACTGTCGTACTAAAGCTGACTCTTTTATGCTTTCCAGAGATGCAATGATCACAAAATCCTAATTTTTCTGTACTCTGTCCACATAAAAGACCCTTCCTACTCAACTCGGCCAATCCGCGCTCACTCATATGATCAAG